TTTGAGCACAAGTCCCAAGAAACATTGCGGCAGGCGCTGCCCAAAGCACTGATCATAACAGCAAAAAAAAACCAAAACGGCTTGGGTGAGAAAAAGCACACATTGGAAAGCATCCCAGCATCTGTCAAAAGGGATTGGTTAAATAACAACGGTACACCCATACAATGGATGCCTGCTGGGGGCCCGTCTTTTGTTTTTCTTTTTTAAACGGCACTAGCAAAATGGAAAACAAGCAGACTGCAACGCGGGTAGCTATGATTTCGGCCTATTTATATTTTAAAATACATGCTAGCGGTGGGCAGGGCTCTTCTCTTTAAGCTGGGTTCTAATTTTGTCCAGGAGTCTAGAACAACTGCCCCACTCAGTCACCCTTTCTCGTCTTTCCGGTTCTTTCTTGCTCAGTTTTCATGCCTTTTTTATTTTTTTTTTTAGAGACAAGGTCTCACTCTGTTGCCCAGGCTGTAGTGTAGTAGCGTGCTCACAGCTCACTGCAGCCTTAAATTCCTGGCCTCAAGGGATCCTCCTGCCTTGGCCTCCCATAATGCTGGATATAAGTGTGAGCCACTGCCCCCATCTGATTTCTCAGTATCTACCCATTCCCGCCCATCTTGCTGCCTCACTCTTTTGCTCCTCGCCTCCACCGCGCCAGCCTTGGGGGTTCATGGAGGGGGCGTGATGCGCACTGGGGACTAGCAAAGCAGGTGCACCGGGACCCTTAGAGCACAAAGCTACAACCTGCTCAGGGCTTCTTTGGCCCTTTGGCCGCGTGCATCTGAAGGTCCACGAAATGCAGGTGAGCTGGGGCTCCCTCCCACCCGGGGCTAAAGACAGAGGGCAGCCAGCCAGGGAGCCCCACGCTCGCCCCATGCCCGCCACCACCCCACCCATCACTGAGCTGCTCCAGGTGGGACAGCCGGACACCCGCCCCCGCGGCTGGCGGCCACTCACCAGCGTCCAGAGGACGTAGATGGTGAAGAGGCGATGTGAGAGCGATGAGCCCATGGCCTCGAGCCGCTGTGCAGCCGCAGGTGATCCTGGGCCCGCGCAGGCACAGCCAGGCCGAGATGGCGGCCAGCGGCGTGATGAACAGGAAGCACACCATGTCACAGCCCAGCGTCCGCTTCTCGTCCTGGGCCCTGGCCTTCAGCCATGCAGGGAGCCGATGGGGAAGGGCCGCTGAGGGCTCAGGGACCTGCAGCTCCGTCCCTTCCTTCTTTCAAACACTTACGGAGCCTACAGGAAAGTCAAGCCCTGCCAGGTGCTGCGCTTTGGCATTCATGTTATAAGATGGGGAAACTGAGGCACAGAGGAGGTTAACTCACTGGAGCAAACTCACCGCAGCCAGGGGTCTGCAAAGCCAGGGTCGGACCCAGGAAAGTCTTGCTCCAGGGCGCTGAGCACCCTTGCGATATCCACCATTGCTTGGCCTCCCCGGATGACGGGCGAGAGAAATGGCTTCGCTCCGGAAATCCTGGGGCCGGGACCGAAAGGGTCCCTGCCTCCCATGCCAGCTGGGAGGTATGCGTAGTTATTGTCCCGTATTGCCCACTCTCGTCAGCATGTTCCCATCATACGCCATTGCTCCCAGCAACCACTGCTTCGCTGGTTCGCTGGACTGAATCTCCGTGAGCACCAGCCTTAGGTGCCTTGTTGTGGCTGGTCCCCAGCGTCCAGCAGAGTCTGGGGCACCCTGGGGTGCTCAGGAAATACTTGCTCATGAACAGGAAACCCAAACGGCATGGGGCTACTGGTTTGGCAGGTCTAGCACTTCAGCGTGGTCAGCAGAATCTACCTGGACGTAGGAGTGTCCTGCCGCAGATCCCTAGTAGCTCCTGCCTCTGACCCTCATGCCTGCTTCTTCCCCTCCGCCCACCCCACCCCCAGGCTCCGAGGTACCTCTGTGAGGCCGGGGCCGCTTCTCCACCGCGAACTCCGTGTGGCACAGCTCACAGTAGCTGGTGTTGGACGAGGACAGCCATCTCTCCAGACAGTCTTGTGCACGGCGCCCAGCGTGCCGCACACCACACGAGACAGCAAGCTCTCGCCGTTGCTCCCTCATGGCAGATCCGCAGAAGGGACCATCACTGGGCACAGGAGATAGGACCCGTTACAATGACTGGGTTCCTGCCTGCATCTGCTTCACTACCTTGCTAGATCACGAGCTCGCCGTTGTCTCCATGCTGCCACTTGGCAAAAACTCCTATTCATCTTCGATGCCAGCTCCAAATGTCTTTCCTTTGAAAGCCTTTCTAGACTCCTATAAGTAGAATGATGTGCTGCCTTCCCAGGACTTCTGTGGCACCTTTTTAAAGCCCAGGGTGAGGTCTCTCTTGTACCTGCCTGCCCAGTGTCCTCTCCTCGCCCTACAACACCACCCTGGTTGTCCTGGGCAACCACCCCACTCTCAACTCTTGGTCCTCAAAGGCAGGGCAGAGCCGACGACACCCCTGATGACCTCAGGCCTGGACCAATCAGGACACCAACACCACCCCTGGTCACGGGGACCCACTCAGGGAAGGGCTTGTGAGATGCCAACCAGAGGCCGCTGGGAACCAATCCTGAAATTCCTTTTTTCCTTCCCCTAAATTTCAGAACCTCAGCGGCAAGGCTGACGCAAGCCTGGAGCTGCTGGCATGCCCCCGGTGTACGCGCAGAGCCACGAAATGATGCCAACAGGGAGTGAAAGCAGAGGCACGAGACAGGAAAGGCGGACATCCTCAGAGGCCCTGGATCTAGACCAACCTGAAGGCCAACTGGCCTGAGAAAACCTATACGTCCGGACAGAAGTGCTCACCTGCTCCTCTGCTCTTGCTGAGAAGCAGACATAAAAAGCAGCCGCAGAAGCTTGCCTGCCTCAGGAAAGTCTCCAGTCCCCAGGGAGGCTGCGTCCTTCCTGGGGTGGCTCAGGAGGCAGGGGGTGTGGCCTTGGCGGGTCCAGCGCATGAGTCATCGTTTCCCAAACATTTCTGCCCGGAACGCAGACTTCGAGCACAGAGAAGAGCCATTTTCCCCTTGGAAATGACTGTCTTCCACCCTCTTCTCAGCCTCTCCTGCTGTGGGGTTAGGCGTGGCTGCCTTTAGAAGGGCCTGCTTTCTGGGCAGCCCCCTGCCTGGGCTCCTGTCTTCTCCCAGAGTGGCCAAAGGGTACGCACGCCCTGGTGCCACCCTCGCTCCCACCACGCACGTGCACGCGCGCGCGCACACACACACACACACACACACACACACGCAAAAAAAAAAAAAGTTAACAGAAAAAGAATTGCTCCGGAAACCAACCCAGTGACCCGAAGTGTCAAGAAGTGACAAGAACCTTCAGGAAGAGCCGTGTCAGTATGTCAGTCTGGACTTTGCTCTGGGAAACCCTGGAAAACTTGCGAAGAGCAATTTCAGAGAACAGAAAAAAAAAAAAAAGACAACCAAAGCTTAATATTTACTGAGCACTTACTATGTACTAGGCACTAGTCTAAGAGCAACATCTGAGTTCATTTATCTCATTCTCACAATGAGCTTAGGAGGAACATGCTATTTTTTTTTTTTTAAGAGAGAGTCTCACTCTGTTGCCCAGGCTAGACTGAGTACTGTGGTGTCAGCCTAGCTCACAGCAACCTCAAACTCCTGGGCTCAAATGATCCTCCTGCCTCAGCCTCCCGAGTAGCTGGGACTACAGGCATGCGCCACCATGCCCGGCTAACTTTTCCTATATATTTTTAGTTGGTCAATTAATATCTTTCTATTTTAGTAGAGACAGAGTCTCGCTCTTGCTCAGGCTGGTTTTGAACTCCTGACCTCGAGCGATCCGCCACCTCGGCCTCCCAGAGTGCTAGGATTACAGGCGTGAGCCACCGCGCCTGGCCTTATTTTTATTTCTGAATAAAAAACTTTATCAATTGATTCTGACACTTGCTACAACACGGATGGACCCTGAGGACATCATGTTCAGTGAAATAAGCCAGACACAGAAGGACAAGTCCTGAGTGACTCCATTCACGGGAGGTCCCTAGAGGCGTCAGATCCACAGGGACAGGAAGTGGGACGGTGGGTGCCAGGGGCTGGGGAAGGGGTGAGGAGTGAGTGTTTCATGGGGACAGAGCGTCAGTTTGGGAAGATGAGAATGTTCTAGAGACGGAGGGTGCTGATGGTTGCACAGCAGTGTGAATGTGCTTAATGCCACTGAACTGTGCCCTTAATGATTAAAATGGTAAATATTATAAATATTTTATCCCAGTTTTTAAAATTTGGGGGGAAAAAAAGCTTATGAATTAAGTCATACCAAATAAACTTAATGACAATTCATAAAACTCAAAAAACTGAAAAGAGAAAGAAATCATTTAGGATCCGATCCCCCTAGCCAACCTGGTGGCTATTTTAAATCCAAGCGAGTTAAAATGGATTTCAACGTGGGAGAAGTTTCCTTAAAGACTCTTTCCCCGGGAACTGATAAAAAGTTGGCGAAGCAGACAGATTCAGCACACAGATGGATCTGGAAGGCCAACACGGAGTTTTAAATAGATCTACTGAAGGTATGCTGGGTGTTGAACCGGAACGCCCTTGCAGACACTTCGTGGGGACGATGGCATTGTCTCCTCCGAGCAACTGAGGAGGAAGGTTGTCCCTTCAGAGGCTACGGAGGCGAAGTGACCTGGCCCGGGTCACTCTGGGAGACATAGAGGCGTCCACGTGGGATGTGGGGCCAGGCGCTGGCTGTCCACAGCTGGCACGCCTAACCCCTCGCTACCCTGCCTCCCCGAGTGGGTTACCTGCCAACATCTGACCTTCAGATTTCATGCCATGATCTGGAACTTTGGCTTTTCCCGGAGAATCAGACCTGACCGGCCTGGGCCTCTGCTTCCACGTGGTGATTGCTGTTTGGGCCCCTTTCTCTGCCAGAGTTACGCCCTGGCCTCCTGAGATGGTTGGATTTCTGACCCCAGACTGGGAGGCCCAGAGAGAAGAAGGCGTGAAGGCCAGGACAGACACCCACCTGGCCACCACTCACTCACCTCGGCGTGTCCAAGGCCCGGATGACGGTGGAGAGGAGCCGGCCATCCCTCGAAGTCACCTGTGCCACATACTGGGGTGGCCCGAGGCCCGTGGCCTCCACGACCTTGGAGAAGGCGGGGCTGCCAGAGCAGTCACACAGGGAGCCGGGCAGGTGGCAGCAGTCCCCCGTCGTCATGGCCACAGGGAACCCCGAGTCATCAGGGCCCGAGGCCCATGGTTCCAGGAGCCTGGGGGGAGGCCAGCGGGGAGGTTAATGAGCCCAACAGGCCAGGGGTCGAGTCCCCTCTTGTCAAGGCTCTAGGGACCACGGGCAAGGACCTGCCTCTCTGAGCCTCAGTTTCCCCAATCTGTAACAGGGGCCTTTGTGGGGGACAGGGAGGATTCGATGAGGCGACACACGCAACTCGGCCCAGGCCTGCCGCACAGCAAGGGCTTGGGTTATGTTGCATCTCACCCTCCCAAGAGAAGCTAGCCCTGCTCCCGACATCAAAGGCCACCTTCCAGTCAATGTCACCGATGTCACCTTTCCAGATATGGTAACAGCACCTGACAGTCATTGAGCAGCTCCTGCGTGCCAGGCCCCACGCTTGGTGTTTTCCGGGGCCAGCACCTGTCCCGCGCCCACCGGCCATGTACAGACTTCACCTCCGAGGATGCGATTCCTGGCGGGGGCTGGGCCCGGGGCACACGGCTCTGCCTGCGAGCGGAGCAGAACGGAGCTGGAAACTTGGCCCTACAGCCCAGAATGGCGAGTCACCCGGACCCTCCCGGTCCACGGCCTCTTGCAGGACTGTGCACTCCTCGGTAGCTCAGGCCATCCAGATGGCTGGGGAGGACGGTGGCAGCCTCTGTCCCCACCACCAGACCAGCTGCTCGGAGCCACACCTCTGTGCCCAAGGGGAGGCCACGGGAGAGGGTGGGAGCCTAAGTCAGAAATTCCAAAGTCTGCCATGGGAGATGACAGGAGGATCCTGCCCTCTGCGCCGTGGTCTGACCAGCAGAAAGAAACCCTAGGCAACCTCCTCCTCCGCCCCTGTGCCAGCCAATGAGGTTATAAGAATATTCCCAGATCCCGATGTGTGTTTCCCCCTGGGAGTTTCATGAAAGTAACAGAGCCCTCTCTAGAGACCTCTTTAAAGCCAACACAGGTTCCCTGGAGCCAAGGATCTCTGTCACCAACTTGTCCAACCCCTGGGCCTTTGTCTCCAGGAGGGACAGTCCAAAGCTCTGGTGGCAGGCCCTATAGTGTTGAGAAACTCCACGCAAGGGGAGCAGACAGGTGCTCACTACAGTATCCCTCAAGACAGCTTTTACCAATTCCTACCAGGCAAAATCCCAGCCCCAAAGCAGGAAGAGCAGTGTATGTTATTATTGTTTTTAGAGACAGGGTCACGCTTTGTCGCCCAGGCTGGAGTGCAGGGGCACAATTATAGCTCACTGCAGCTTCCAACTCCTGGGCTCAAGCGATCCTCTTGCCTCAGCCTCCCAAGTAGCTGGGACAACAGGCGAGTGCCACCTCACCCAGCTAATTATACAGGTGAGCACCAGCACACCCAGCTAATTATTTAAGTTTTTATTTTATAGAAATGGGGTCTCACTATGTTGCCCAGGCTGTTCTTGAACTCCTGGCCTCAAGTGATCCTCCCACTTTGGCCTCCCAAAGCGCTGGGATTACAGGTGTGAGCCACAGCACCCAGCCCTGTAGGTTATTGACTAACTTTTGCACCAGGACACTCTGCCAACGGATCGACAGCTCTCTGAACAACTCAGCCAAAAGCCCTCCTGGTCCGATATGGCCTTCTGAGCCCCCACGGTAGGGCCAGATAAGCAAGTATCAGCCAAAGGCAGGAAGAGACTGGAAGGAAGGCTGCAGGCCTGAGATAACAGCCCCAGGACAGTGGCCAGGGCTGCCATGTCTTACATGCTGCTGTCCCTCCTGTGTACCTGCCACCAGAACCTCCCATGCAGGGGTCAGAGGGGAGCCACTTGGACGTTGCCCTCCAAGGGAACACCTCCCGCCCCTCTGAGAATCGGTCTTAACATTCCCGCAAATAGTTGTGCATTATAAGAACGACCACAGCTCCTGTAATGTCATGCTCTATCATTTCTTTTACTATCAGAGGGGGAAAAAAAAAACCCACTGGTGAATCTGCTAATGCACGGTCTGCAAATGGCCAAATAATCATTGCAGTTCCTGTTTATTAAGGACTGGGTACTGCGCCAAGCAATCTGCATATGTGTTAATCATCTCACTGAGCTCTAAACAGTCGCTGTAAGTGTCCCCTTCAAAGGTCACCTTCCAGGAGGAGCCCTCCCCAACCAGCCCTCCCCTGCCTGAAGTGACACTGGGGTCCACGTTACTCCTCTCACGGCATGTGCCCATCTCTGAAATGCTCTATAATGCATATTCATCCACTTACTTAACCATGCATGCCATCCCACTCTGCAGTGAACTCTAGAAAAGGGGGGGCCCTGTGAGATTGCTCCCCCCATCCCCAGCACCTGTGTCTGGCTCAGAGTTGCTGCATTCATTGCTGCTGCATTCGTTGCTGCTGTGTCTGTTGTCGCTGCAGTCATTTCTCAGCCCCTGCTCCGTGTCAGAACAGAGTGGGAGAACCACATCTCTTGGCTCTCAGACCCTGGGCTCCCAGCCCCCCGTGGCGGGAATCAGAGATGCTTAGAGGAGGGAGGTTCATGTAAACCACCCAGGTCTGGGTTTAGAAGAGGCCACACTCAGGGCTGGGCACAAGGAGACGGTGGCTGCAGGCTGGACTCAGCTCTGGGGCTGCTGGAATGCAGGAGCGAGCCAGTGCCTTGGGCAAACGTGGCCCAAATGGCCAGGGGACGGATTGCATAGAGTCTGACCACAACCAACCAACAATCACTCCATATGATAGGTGAAAAAGCTGAGGCTCGGAGAGGGGCACCTATTTGCCCAAGGTCACAGAGCTACAAAGGGACAGTGCCATGATTTGAACTTAAGACAGTCTAGTGAGTGGATCTGGGTCTTTAAGTCCTGGCTCTGCCACTGCCACTGTGTGTCCTGATTCAAGTCACTTTGCTTCTCTCGGCCCCATCTTCTCCTTTGCCAAGCATGCTGATGGAACAGGTGGGCCGTGTCTGCTGAGGGTTCTCCAGAGAAGGACCCTCCAGGCTAATTCCTCCAGGAAAGCTCACCCTTAGCTGGGTTTGCACTGGGGTGGCATTGAGGCACCCCAATCTTTTCCATGCCTTCCCAGCCTCCAGCCTCCTTTTTCCGGAGGACAGGAAACTGAGGGAAGAGAAGTTAAGAGGGCCCTAACTCCCTACAGTGTGATCTCCAGCAGCTGCTTCACTCTCTGAGCCTCAGTTTCCTCATCTGTTAAATGGGTGTCATAATGATACCCCATTCATGCGTCGGTAAATATTAAAAAGTCAATAAATATTAGCTCTGGTTGTAATGACCCTTATCAGCTTACAGAGCTGTTGGGAAGTTTGATGAGAGGACACACGGTCAGCACCTGGCACACAGTAAGTGCGTGATAAACGCCCACTGTTATTATCGTTTAGGATAAACGTGGAATCTGGCAAACGCATTCACTCCTCTTCACTCACCCAGAGAGGTCCCTGTGTGTCCTCCAGCACGGGATGTCTCTGCATCAGAAGCCAGGTTCCAATCCCAGCTCTGCTCCTTGACTGCTGTGTGGCCCTGGGCAAGAGACTTAACCTCTCTGAGCCTCGACTTCCTCATCTGCACAAACAGGGAACATTTTTTCTAGGACTTCCACCTAGTTAGTAGGGCTCCTGGAGGGCTGAGTGAGCTAATCCTATCAAGGCTGACTCCCCTGTTTTGAGCACCCACACAGCACACAGCATCCTGTTGGAGCATCATTTTGCACAGCGCCTGACTTCTTATAATATTTACTATTTTCCAGGCAGAGCCCCCTCTGAGAAGGAGGTTGGGGAAGGACACTTATCGACCGACTGCTGTGTGCAGGGCGCTTTTCCTCCTCAGCCAGCCACCTCCTGAAATCCTCCCAGCAGCCGCATCCGGTTGGCAATGGGATGACCCAGTTTCACACGTGGGGAAACCGAGGCTCGGAGAGGCGCCCACTGTGTGCCGGGCTCCAGATACCCCCCACCGGCCTCGAGACGGGACCTGCGGTCCCTGGGTCTCGGGGAAGGTTGCGGCCAAGAGTTCGAGCCCGGCTGTCACGCCCGGGAGTGGGGGGGGGGGCGCCGAGCTCGGGCCTCGAACCCGGGGTCAGCCCCGCGGACCGGCGTCCTCCGGCTCTACCTGTCGGCCTGTGCCTACCTGATCCGCGGCCGGGCCGGGCGGCCGCGCAGGCCCCTCGGTTCACCCTGGCCCGGGTCCCGGCCCGGCCCGGCCCGTCGGCCCCGCTAGCTCCGCTCCAACCGGTACCTGCGTCCGGGCACCGCCCGCCGAGCCGACAGCGCCGCGGACCAATGGCCAACGCCCGTCGCCCGCATTCGCCAATCACCGCGCACGTCCCGCCCCTGGAGGCGGGGCCTGAGGCGACGGGGACGTCCTAGGCCGCACAGGCCACGGGACGCCGCAGCTGCTAGCTCCGCCCCTGCCGCGTCCTGGCTCCGCCCCCAGCACGGGCCTCGCCCCAGCCCAGCCCCGGGCGCGCGCGGAGCTGGCTGCGCCCCCTGCAGGCCGCCCGACTGCTTTTAAATAATTAAAATCGTTGCAGAATTCAACTTGACACCAGGCAAATGATTTGTAACTGTTCTTCACCTCCCTTACGCTTCTCATCGATCCTGAGGGAGGAAGAGACTGTATGATCACATTGCACACAGGAGAGAAGCCTACAGGGGTTAGGGAGCCGTGCAGGAGCCTAAAGTCAACATCATTTATTCATCATTCATTCATTCATTCATTCATGCAGTAGATCCATTCAATAGATATAGTAAACATCAGTAGGGAGGGCCTGTTATGAGCCAGGCACTGCGCTAGGCACTGGGGACACCACGTTGGGTGAGACAAAAATTGCTGCCTTTGTGGGCCTCTAGAGAGTGAGACAGAATTAGTAATAAAAGTTTTAAAACATTAAAACCAGAACATTTATTGCATCATTGAAATTCCTTTTTTATCCCCAAATGCCTGGATGAAATTCTTAATCAATTATTAATTACAAATGTGATACAATGCAGGAAGTGGCCAGGAGTGGTGGCTCACGCCTGTAATCCTAGCACTCTGGGAGGCTGAGGCAGGAGGATCACTTAAGGTCAGCAGTTCAAGACCAGCCTGAGCAACAGCAAGACCCTGTCTCTACTAAAAATAGAAAATATTAGCCAGGTGTGGCGGTGCGCGCCTGTAGTCCCAGCTACTCGGGAGGCTGAGGCAGGAGGATCGCTTGAGCCCAGGAGTTTGAGGTTGCTGTGAGCTAGGCTGACGCCACGGCACTCACTCTAGCCTGGGCAACAGAGTGAGACTATAGCTCAAAAAAGAAAAAGAAATATATATTTCCTAAGGATAAGCACACTTTTCCACATAATCACAGTATAACCTTCAAAATCAAGAAATGAATATAGATTCAATATTACCACGTCATTCCCAGGGCCCATTGAAAATTTCCGAAAATTCCATCCCAGGATTAAGTGTTGTATTTCGCTGTTATGTGACTCTAATTTAGTCTCTTTCTGTTTGGAACATTTCCTCAATCTTTCTTTGTCTTCATGACCTTGATACTTTTGAAAATGACAGGCTAGTCATTTTGAAGAAAGTCATTCTCTTTGGAATTGTCTAGTATTTCCTTAAGACTAAAAATTTGTGGCAGGAACCGTAGAAGTGATATTGTATTTTCAGGATGCATACAATGGCGATTTTGTCCTCTGCTGATTATGCTAACTTGGTCAAAATAGTGTCTGCCACTAATCCACTTTCTTCAGCGTAGATTAGCATGTTGCACTTATTAATAAGTGCTTTATGGGAAGATATTTTGAAACTAATTACATATCCTGTTCCTCAACAAATTTAATATCTACCAATTTAATAGCCCTTGAAGATTCTTGCTTGCATCAATTACTATTTTGATGGCTGCCAAATGATGATTTTCTAATTCCATCTTGGAGCACTTCCTTACTAACTTGCTCACCAAAATGTTCTGGGCTGACTCGTCTTGTGTTTTTCCTTGCCCCAGCCCTGGGATCAACCATTTCTCCAAGGAGCCCTGGTTTCTTTTAGTGGAAAATGATATTTAGAAACCAAGATCTGGGTGCCTGGTGTACTCATTGCTACCAGGATATCATTAATTCCTGGCTTTCTCATCGTAATACACATGCATGTATAAGACATTTACATATCTGTCTATCAGACCATGAGTAAACACTAATCCCTCCTACCATGCCCTGCCTGTTATGTGAATTTTATCTCAAATTTAAAAAACAAGAAAAAAAATGACACCATTGGAATGTCACCAGCAAAATTCAGACTATGAAACTAAATATAAAGGATGCATTGCTTTAAAAAAATTTCTCCATGTTTGTATGTTTAGATTTTTCCATAATAAAAATATTTAGAAATGTTTTGGTATACTTCCTCCCAGTCCTTTATCTGGGCATTTTATCCATGTCTTAGAGCTTTGTGGCTCATAGAAGGTGCTCAATAAATACAGGGAGAAGCTCATAAATTGGAAAAGCTCTGGGTTGGAAATCTGCTTGCAACTTACTAATTGTCAGACCTTCCTTGGTTGAGTCAAATTTCTGTTCTCTGTCCATAAAATGGGGCCGGTATATTATGCCCACCTCCTAGGGTTGTTGCAAATACCAGCTAATGATTTGTTGAAGATTTAACGTGGTTCCTAAGAAATGTAAACAGAGGCCAGGCGTGATGGCTCACGCTCCCAATCCCGGCACTCTGGGAGGCCGAGGCGGGAGGATTGCTCAAGGTCAGGAGTTCGAGACCAGCCAGAGCAAGAGTGAGACCCCCGTCTCTACTATAAATAGAAAGACATTAATTGTCGACATATATACGTATATAGAGAAAGAATTACGCGGGCATCGGTGGCGCATGCCTGTAGTCCCGTTACTCGGGAGGCTGAGGCAGGAGGATCGCTTGAGCCAGGAGTGTGAGGTTGCTGTGAGCTAGGCTGACGCACGGCACTCACTCTAGCCTGGGCAACAAAGTGAGACTCGTGGTCTCAAAAAAAAAAAAAGAAAAAGAAAAGAATGCATAAACATTAGAATTGGCTATAGGAATCCAGCCATCGTCACTTTGGATATATACTTCAAAAGAATTGAAAGCAGGGACTCAAACAGATATCTGTACACCGATGTTCGTAGTGGCATGATTCATGGTAGCCAAAAGGTGGAAGCAACCCAACAGATGAATGAATGCAATGTGGTGTGTTTGTACAATGGAACATTATTCAGCCTTAAAAAGGAAGGAAATTCAAACCAGGTGTGGTGGCTCACACCTGTAATCCCAGGGCTTTGGGAGGCTGATGTGAGAGGATCACTTGAGGCCAGGAATTAGAGACCAGCCTGGGCAGCATAGCAAGACCCTGACTTTACAAAAAATTTAAAAATTAGCCAGGCATGGTGGTACAAGCCTGCAGTCCTGGCTACATCAGGAGGCTGAGACAGGAGGATAGTTTGAGCCTGGGAGTTTGAGGCTGCTTGTGAGCTATGGTTGCACCACTGCCAGCCTGACAAGGAGCAAGACCCCGTCTCTACTATAAATAGAAAGAATTAATGCCAATATAAATATAGAGAAAAAATTAGCTGGGCATGGTGTGCGCATGCCTGTAGTCCCAGCTACTCAGGAGGCTGAGGCAGGAGGAATCACTGGAGCCCAGGAGTTTGAAGGTTGCTGTGAGCTAGGCTGACGCACGGCACTCACTCTAGCCTGGGCAACAAAGCGAGACTCTGTCTCAAAAATAAATAAATAATAAATAAATAATAAAAATAAATAAATAAATAAAAATAGAAAGAATCAATGGCAACTATATTATATATATAAAAATTAGCTGGGCATGGTGGCTTGTGCCTGTAGTCCAGCAATCGGGAGAGCGAGGCAGTAGATTGCTTGAGCAGGAGTTTGAGGTGCTGTGAGCTAGGCTGACGCCACGGCACTCACTCTAGCCTAGGCAAGGAAGCGAGACTCTGTCTCAAAAAAAAAAAAAAAAAATTAGTGGCATGGGCATGCATGGCTGTAGTCCCAGCTACTCAGGAGCTGAGGCAGGAGATCGCTTGAGCCCAGGAGTTTGAGGTTGCTGTGAGCTAGGCTGATGCACGGCACTCACTCTAGCCTGGGCAACAAAGCGAGACTCTGTCTCAAAAAAAAAAAAAATGATAATCATTTCAGTGATTTAATAAGCACATCGTGCTCACTCTGTGCCAGGCTCTGTTCTCAGTCTTTTATAATGATGCCAACATATACATAACATAAAATGGACCCTTTTAACCCTTCCTAAGCGCACAGTTCTATGACATTAAGCACATTCGCAACGTCTACAACCATCAGTACCCTCCGTCTCCAGAACTTTCTTGTCTTCCCAAACTGAAACTCTGTCCCCCTGAAACACTAACTCTCCACCCCCTCCGCAGCCCCTGGCACCTGCCATCCTACTTTCTATCTCTGTAGATCTAACAACTCTAGGGACCTCCTGTGAGTGGAATCACACAGGATTTGTCCTTCTATGTCGCCTATGTCACTCAGCACGATGTCCTCAGGTTCCATCCATGTGATAGCATTTGTCAGAATTTTCTTCTCCTTCTTCTTCTTCTTCTTTTGTGAGACAGAGTTTTGCTCTGTTACCCAGGCTAGAGTGCAGTGTCAACCATAGCTC